TCTCTCCCTCCCTCCCTCCCCCCTGCTGCAGAATACTAACTGGATTCTGATGTCTCCATGAAGCCAGGGCTTTGTCTGGACCAGGTCTGGTTTCAAGTAGCTGTAACTGTAACTCACTCACTCCTTCAGCATCTGAACTGCCACATGCTGATCTGCAGGAAGGATTTAACACTGTTTAAAAGCTCTTCTCTCGTTCAAGGAATGGGAACATAGAACAGACACCATCCACACTTTTAATGTCATTAATAGAGGAAGAGACAAAGAGAAAAACAGGTATTTTAACGCCCTGTTAATCACAATCTGCGTTGGAGGGGTTGTGGGTCGGTGGAGGAGTTTACACATATATTTAAGGGTTGCCTAAAACCCAGAAGAATACTTGAAAAAGGACATTAAACAGGTTTTGGGTGTTAACTTCACTTTAAACTGCGGAGACAGACACTGATTTGATTTCTTTACCGAGAATTTTTAACAGCAAAGAAAACGACAACAGCATCCAGGTTGAATGAGGATTATTAGAATGAATGAATGAATGAATGAACATATAACTATGAATAAAACCTGCAAACTAACAGCAGTGTGTGGTGGTTGTACAATGACACAGATGCAGAGACTGAGCTAGAAAGCGCTGCAGATTACAGTGCGTGTCTTTTGTGTCTGCGGCGCAGGCTGCTGTCGGACCTCGTTACTGCCACTGTTACCGCTCCGTGCAAATACAACAGGAAATCATTTGATCGACTGAATGCAAATGGTTGCTCTGTCGAGGTAGACAGAGTTATGGCCTGCTGACTGGTTGAAGCACACACGGGGGGGGCAGGGAACAAAGGAATATATAACATACTGTAAATCTAACACAGGACATTCATTATTATGGATATATTTGAAGCTATTCAAAGTAATCATGCAAGTGTAGAAGTTTGGCTGAGATCTGTATATATAATATCGATATAATAACAAAGAAAAGTCCTGTATGATTCCAATAATAGTTATGTTATGTTAGCCAGACAGAGGAATGATTAGTATAAATATAGTACAGAGTATTAATACAGTGGAAACAGTTCCATATATGCTAAGACTATAGAAGAAATCCTTATAATGTGTAATTTAAAATAAATAATATGGATATTTTCCTGTGTATATTGGACTGAATACATACGTCAGAGTAAGGTGGACTCATATACAACACATGTTTAGTTTTATTTTGATATAATATACATATTTATTATTATTATGTCCATGTTGGATTACTCAGATATATGAAACCTTATACGTCCTGTAACAGCTCATACAGTGAACCTCTGTTGTAATATGTGAGAAATAAACAAATACATAAAATAAAGTCATCGTGCACCCTTTCCCTCCCAAAGTCCTC